AAACAGAGCCTTGGGGTACTCCACTGCATAGTTCCCTCCATGTAGATGCAGTTCCATTGAGGACTACACATTGAATGCGGTTGTAAAGTGTGGATGTTGTTCATGTTTTTTAAAAGAATAGCTCAATTCCCAGTCACTACTATATCAAGATCTTTTAAGAACATTTTATTCTTTGGCCCATCCCCATACATACTTTACACATACTTGATATTTTAAAATTTAAGTCTTTTATGTTGTATGAAATCCTTTTTCTTAAATGAATACAAATTAAATTCAGTATATTTGTGAACTGAAATTGCCCAGTAATGCCTAGTATATGTTGATCACTGAGATGGAATTCTTTGTTATTATATCCACTTTTTAAGAGTGAATTAAGTTCAACAATGAAAACAGATTGTAAGGCTAAGCTTGGTACAATTATTTTTAAAATATTAAAAACATTACAATCAAAGTCAACTCAACTCTGAGACAATTTTTTTTGGGGGGGGGAATTAATAAGATAAGCATATGTATGAAATCAGTTTTGTGCATATATCGGCCTTGAGATTCAGATAGGAAAAATACAGTGATTCTTATCTCCATGTATTTGGCTCCTGCTTTCTAATTTTATTTTGTATTGTAAGAAGCATTTCTTTTTTGTTTCTTTTCTTTTTTTGTAATGAGGCTGTTTTCTTATTCATTTTTAAATTCTGTTTTGGTCTCTCTTAATTTAGTCCTGATGACTCATAATTAATTAGTCAGTCTAGAATCTATGTTAGTCAATCTAATCAATCCATCAATTCTGAGAAACAAACTTAGCAATTACATCATGAATTTGAAGAGTATTAAATCAACAAAACAGACACCATAGTTATCTTTAGGGTTTAGACAGCACAAACATTTTTTAGACATCATGAAACTGCCCTAGAGCTATATGGGTTTGAACTTGTAGCTAGATTTTATATGATGTGATAGGCTGGATGTGCTCAGGCTTCTTCCCTTAATATTGTCATCCTGCAACATTTGACCCAGGAAGCACACTTTCTCCATCGTTGCCCCTGGCCTATGGAACATTCATTCCCCAGAAATCTGGCTGGCCTCCATTCTTTTAGCCTTCTTGGGAGGCCTTGAAGAGCTGGGTCTTCCTGCAAACATTGGGGAACAATGAGTTTGGAGCCCAGCAAGGCAGAATGCTGATGGTGAAAGTGTGGTGCCCTGGGAATGCCAGGAATGTTTATTGTGGTTTGTTTGTTTCTTGTAATGTTTTAGAGTTTTGTGAGCTGCCCAGAGTTGTGATTTATAATATGGGGACCTATATATCTCTTTTTAATATATATGTAGTATGTTATATTTTATTATACTTTTGCTACTAAGTTTGTGTATATGTGCTTCCAAATAGTGTTGACTCTCTTGGTGACTGCCTGGACAAGTCCCTGCAGTTTTCTTGGCAAAATCTCAGAAGCAGTTTGTCCTTGCCTGCTTCCTGAGGCTCAAAGTCACCCAACTGGCTTTGTGCCTAAAGGCAGGACGATGGTCATGGCTATGGTCCCCTGGTTTCTAGCTTTATGGCTAAACCACTACTCCAAACTAGCTCTTGCTGCTTTGAATGACTCCAGACTCACCCCTTGTGAATGAAAAATTGACCCTCTGATCTTAAGCAGCACTCACATTTGCTGTAGATCACAATACATGAGCTGAAAATATAGCGGCATGATGGAAAATTAGTCTACTCAAAGGTATAACAAAGATGGGAGGGAAGCAAGCTTATCAGTGGGTTCTTTCTAAAGCAAGGAAAACAAAGCACCTGTCAGTTGCAAAGGGTATCAAAGAAATGACACATTTAGCCATTTTTTCAACATTACTAATGCAGCTGTCAAGTGGCTGGGATATCCGGAGATTCAAGCAGTTCAAATGAATAGAAAGATTATTCTCTACAAGAATTTGGCCAACTAACAGTTAAGGGAAGTGTGTGGGAGATAAGAGAGGCGTTCAAGTTGGGCTGAACTTAAAACTCTTGCAGGCGCACAGGGATTTGTGACTTATGACACATTTGATCCCTCCCTCAGGCTCAATCTGGTCATCTCCTACATCGGCTTCCTTATGGACTGTGCTTCATTGTCATGTTATAGGGCATTTCTTTTATCCTTTGAAGAAATATTTGCCAGCATAATTAGTATTGTTCCAGGAATTAAACTAAGTTTTCATTTGTCTTAGCAATAAATGTCCTGAGTGCTCCAGTCCTTAAAGCTTTATTGCAGAACTATCTAACGGCAGAGATTTTCCTGGGGGGAGTTTCACACATTCAAAATTATCACACTCCTTAAAGTGTGGGCAGGCCAGTTTGGAAGAGTGTGGTTGGTGCTTGGAGGAGAGGTGTCAGCCACCTTTCCAGTTGGGTATATGAGTGATGGGTCTCCAGTACACAGAGACTTGGAGTATTTCTAGGTGTGGGTCAATTGGGCTTCTGGAAAGACAAAGAGAAAAGAGGGGGGGAAGAGGGGGTTGTTGGTTTGTGAAAAATCATCACCTCTGCTATTTGTAGATTGGAAGGTCTGGAAATGCTTTTAACAAGAAGCCCAAGTCCTATATTAGTTTAAAAACTTGATTTAGAGGAGAATAAAAGCCAAGTGGAAGAAAGCAAAGCAAACCTATTACTAATCTTATTCATGATTTTGCTTTTTAGGTTGAAAAATGCTATATCACCCTGTATCCACAGATGTATGCATAGATGTTTGTTTCTAATGGCGATGATATCAAAATAAGAAAATGAGCATTGTGGCATCACAAACAAGCTCATAAAAGACAACGTTTGCATCATGATATACATTTCATCACATGTTCTCTCCTCTCCCCTCCTAGGGGATGCATCTTCACAAATACTACTGTTTTAGAATTAAAATACATCTTAGTTTTTTTTTAAATAAAAATAAATCGAAAGAAACTTACGGATTGCATTTCTTTTTTTCTTCCTTTCCGTAGGCCAAATTCTTGCAGGCACTGATGCATACTTCCAAAATGCCAAATTTGAAATTGTATCTAATGGCAAATTCTATTTCACCACCGACATCAGCTTTTGCAAAGTCAACAGCCCCACTGCAAACGCTGGTAATGCTGTATAAACTACCCTGTATAAGACAGTGAATTAAGACAATCAAAAGGGTCTGAAGTACATAACCATGTGTCTGCTTTCTAGGTTTCGTTTAGGATTCTAAAGTCTAGACTGACTACTAGATGGCATAAAGGGTTAGAACAAGGTTTCTCAATCTTGGCAACTTCAAGATGTGTGGATGTCAATGTGTAGAATATCCCAGTCAGCCTACCGGCTGGTGAATTCTTAAAATTGAAGTTCATACATCTTATGATGGCTGGGAAATTCTGGGGGTTGAAGACCACACATCTTAAAGTAACCAAGTTGTGATGGAATGTACACTGCAGGAGCAGAAGGGGAGGCTTTTGGCAACACAGAACTTTCCCAGAAAGAGGCCCAGATCAAGAGGCTGCGGTCCTGAGATGGAGGATGGAAGAGGGCAGTGATGGCTAACCTTTTTCTCTTCACGTGCCGAAATCACCTGAACATGCATGCCCACATTCACAATGCAATGCGCTTGCCCCCCTGGGCATGTGTGTGTGACCCCTTCGCGGGCATGCACAACCCCCAGCACAGCCTACTCGGCCTCCTGCACCATGGTGGTGGGGGGTCATTTTTGCCTTCCCCAGGCTCCGGAGACTTTCCTCAAGCCTCCAGGAGAGCGAAAACAGCTGCCCCAGGCTCAGAGGCCCTCCAGAGGCTGGAGACAGGCCCATTTTCAGACTTCCAAAACTTTCTGGAGGCCCCTTTTTCGGTCTCCCTAGGCTCTGGAGGGGAACATGTGTGGCAGAGACTCAAAAATCAGCTGGTCAGTGGGAGGCACCTGCGCACATGCACAGTGGAGCTGAGCTGGGCAACGGCTCGCATGCCCGCAAAGAGGCTCCATGTGCCACCTGTGGCACATGTGCCATAGGTTTGCTGTCACAGGATTAGGGGTAGCCACACCCTAAAATTGTTCAAGATATACGTTATCTAGTAGGTCAGAAAGACATAGCTTTCATTTGGTAAGATTCTTTCAATTATATATAAGTAAATAAAGGATTTGATTCAGTTGGATCTCACTGTCTCATCTCTGGGCTTGGACCTAACATCAAGGTTGGAAAACACTGAGTTAGAGGGGGATTTTTTGCATCTCTTTACTATCATTTATTACTTGTCCAATCCAAATCAGAATAAAGCTTAATATCTGAAGAAGAAAGTTAAGATTTCCCATACAACTCATCTGAAGTGGTACTCTGTTCTGCTATCCAAAATAAAAAAGGCCCATTGTAAAGAGATAAAGACATATGTAAGGTTTTTATCATTATTTCTGTCTCTGAAACAGATGTTTTCTGAAGTTTTACATATCCTTGAGAATTATGTGATTTTTTTGTGTGAAGACAGTTAATAAACTATCAAGCATTAAAAACCTATACATTTTCCATGCATAGTAATAGAAAGAGGAGAAACATGATCACTACTTACACGTTTTTTATCTCCACAGATTAAGGCAGCATCTATATCTATGGAGGATATGCATTCTTCACTTGATGCTTTTATGCAAGCAATTCGACTGTCCTCTTGTTCTCCATTGATACTTGAAGATCTCTTTGTTAAAAAAAAGGAGGGACAATAATATATAAACACTACTCATCTTTATAAAATCAACACAAGGGGGCTTCTGAAATGCTGAATGATGCAGTCAGCAATTAAATTGCAATGATTCAATATTGCAAACCCATTGGTAATTATAACAATGCACAGGAAAATGAACAGTTTAAAAAGGAGGTCAGCTACGTCCATTCACTTGCAATGGATTGCAAGTGAATCAATGGACAGTCTGAGGTTAGATCTGGAAGCTCAATATGAATGTTTCCTCTTTCCATCTGTAACTGGGGAGGAGAATAAATAAACTGGTTTCCAAAGTATACACTAATGTGATTACAGCTATTATATACTGCAAACCTCCATACTTTGCATAATTTATTCAGTTCACAGAGCTTGCTGTGTTTTCTCATCAAATCTGATCATGTTTCAAGTACAGAATACCCAACATTCCATTAATATATTGCATAGTTAATGTCATTCAACAATACTATACCCTAGTTGAAATATCAATAGCTGTATCAGATAGGCTTCTCCTATCCTTCACTGGATCTTTGTCTGGCCCATAATTTGCTGGGAGGAGGTATTTCTCATTGGCCACATCATTCTGTGATTTTGAGATTTCTAGAGTGGGGAAAAGTCAATTCAGTACATTCATAGTTGTAAGTCTAAAATTTATAATTGTTATAATACTTGCAAGGCTGAGCTGGCAGCATTTGAAGTATATTCTTGTTTGCATTTTATGAAACTAAAACAGCCCTATTAAAATATGTCAAATATATAATACTAGAGTTTAGATTATTAGAGAGCGAATTTGGTGTAGTGGTTAAAGTATCAGGGTAGAAGCTGAAGACTGGGAATTCTAGTCCCACCTTAGCCACAAAGCTAGCTGGGTGGCCTTGGATCGGTCATCTTTCCAATTGATCTTGGATCAAGAAATAAAGCTTTTATAACAGAAAAATTGATATATTTGAACACACTTTTTTTTGTCCATAGAAAAGTCTCTCATGGAATCTCAGTTCTTTTTAGGAGCTTAGTGCTTCATAGAAAACATATTGAAAAACTCTGTTTTAGAGGTATCCCAGGGTTATACTTTAATTTGGAAAACATGCATACAGCACAGAGTCTACAATATCCATACAATATTTTTTTAAAAACCCACATCCAATCAGCTCCTGGTAGGAAGCACAGCCTATAAGTAGGTCTAAATTAAAGTAACAGTTTCAGTAGATATCTAGCCCAACAGTACAGGTTCAATTTGCATTCAATTATGTTCTCTCTTGAAACATATGTCTACTGTTATCACAATATCTATAGCACAGTTTCAAGGGAGTAGTATGAATTCAAAGGAGTGAATCGTAGTCAGTTTATTGGAAATTTCTCTCAGGCAGTTGTGTATACTGTAGAACTGCAGTTTACATTGGCACAGAATGGAGAATGAGTTACAAATGGAGTCTAGGAACAAAAATATAAAAACACTTCATGACTTGCTCTTTATTTTCTCTTGTGTGGCTCCACATTTGATTTAACAATAAACTTGATGATAAGTAAGTACATCTTTGTTCCAATTATTTCTCAAATAACCATAGGTGCAAATTATATGTGAATTTTTATTGCATAAGATGTCCCAAGGTTATCACCCCCATGGAGGTAAGATTGGCCCCCACTTTGACACTATTTTGCAAGGCCTGGGTTTGGGGATCCCAGAGTGGAATGGAGCCCATCAAATGATTTATTTGATAGCTATTGCCAGGATGTGAGGATGGGGGTAATTGGTTTTTGTTGTTGTTTTTATTGGGTTTGTATTGTGGTAAGCCACCCGGAGTCATTGAGAGTGAGTTGGGTAGCCATATAACTTTTCAATCAATCAATGTTGCAACAGTGGAAAACCTAAGAATATATTGACCACTTTGATTAATATTGTCATAAAGGGCAGAAATTAAAAGTGACTGTAACTTTTTGTTAGCTTGGTAAGAGTATGTGGAGCACTTTCAAATGATGTAAGAATAATTCTTCATGATAGGTAGGTCTAACATCTCATATTCTGCATGCATATTTTTGGAGCAGGATAAATAATACAGTACCACAAGCTATAACTGCAATTAGAAGTGGCATAACTAAGAAATCTCACTAACCCCACTAGAATGTATTAATACATGTTATTAATGAAAATGATGGAACACTTTAATCCAGTGTTAAAATCCAGTGTGAAGGACCCCTTAGATGCTTCAAAAGGGAATTGTCAGATGAGAAGTTCTTATTTCCTTGAGGAATGGCATTGGGGGATGAGAGGCAGAAAAGTAATATTCTTTGTAAACTACAATACTTGAAGTTCCAATCCAGATTCTAAGATTCAGTCAGATATACCTTTGATACTGATTGGAAATCTCTTTCTTTAACCCCCCAAAGCCAAAAGATAGATAGTAAAATACAGTACTATCGTATTTGCCCCACAAATATGGCTTGGGCCTTATTATCAGGGAAGGGGTTATTGTTTTGGGGTTGCCAAGCGGCTGCTCCCTTGCAAGCGGGCTCCCGAACAGCCAGGCATAGCTTCAGGGGTGAAGCAGCCATGAGGTGACCACGCTCAGGAGCAGCCGCCCAGCAAACCCCTTCTCCAGCAGGGCAGAGCACCATTCACTGACCTAGGTGGTATACCTAAGGCACCAAGCCACGTGGCACTCTGCCTGTCCCCCAGCTTCCATGGCTTAGCACATTTGGGATACCCCCTAGGTCAGTGCATGGAGCTCTGCCCGGCTGGAGAGGGTTGTTGTGCAAGCACCTGTTCTGCCCCCAGCTTGCATGCCTCCCAGCAACATGAGCGCCTTCCCCCCCCCCCTGGTTCCCACAGCTTGGCACCTTCAGGATACCGCTAGGTCGGTGAGCGGTGCTCTGCCTCGCTGGAGGGGGGGGGTTGTCCAGGGGGCTTATTTTCAGAGGGGCTTATATTTTTGCCCACGCAAAAGAATGTGGCAAGGCCTTAGTTTCAGGACAGGTTGTATTTTCGGGGAAACACGGTATTCTTTTAGCTACCAGGTGACTAGACCTATCCTTTTACTGCAACATCTTATTTCAGAATAGTAAAGACCCTTACTTTTGATGTGTGTGGTAAGAGACAGAAAAAGGTTTTCCATAGACTTGTGGAAACCTGGTTTTAATTCCTGAAAGAAAAAGAGACAAGAATAAATAAATAGAATGGGACAACCTTCTCAAGGTTTCCTGAATGATAAAATTTTCAAGGAAGCGCAGGTGCAAACTTGCAAACAGAGCTATAATTCCTGTTTTCAAGCATTTAAGAGATTATATATGCTTGCATTGTTATTATTATATTTTTATCCCACCTTTTAAATATTTTGGCCAACTCAAGGTGGCAAATTTACTTAATACTACTTCCTCCTCCTATTTTTCATGCAATAATCCCATGTGGTAAATTGGTTTGAAAGACAGCAACTGGCCCAAAGTCACCCAGCCAGCTTTCATGCCGGTCCTTTGGTACATAAAAGATCACAGTGTTTACCACAGTAATTTTATAAATCAGTCAACATCCCAGTCTGGGTTGCAAAATAATAATAATAATAATAATAATAATAATAATAATAATAATAATAATAATAATAATAGTAGTAGTAGTAATAATAATAATAATAGTATAATAATAATAATAACACCAAAAGTGAAAAACCAGAAAAAACAGGCCACAGTTGAATTCTGGAAAGAATTGTGGGAAAATGCAAAGGACTACAACAAGGAAGCAAAGTGGATACATGACTTTGAGAAAAGCATTGGCAACAAACAAATGCAAGTATTAGAAATAACAACTGAGATGGTCAAAAGTTAAAAAGGTAAAGAATTGGACATCACCTGGAAAGGACCAATTACATGGTTTCTGGCTCAAATATCTGACCAGTTT